CATTTTTATATGTTTCCACACTTTTAATTTAATTTTAATTTTTTTTGTGTGTTCCGACTTCCGATTCGTCCACTAAATAGTTAAATGAATCATATAAAAATATGTCTTTTTATTTATTTATACACATTAATCTCAATAAGCCATAAAACTCTAAAATATTTGTTTAACTATATGATAAACAAATAAAAACATAGCATAAGTTTTTTATTCTTCAAAATTTGAATAAAAAATACGTATTCAATTGACACATAAGTTAAATATTTAAAATGAAATATGTTGTCAAATTCAAAGATTAAAAGATAGCTAAATATTAGTATTAGTAACAATTAAGAAATAGTCCAAGCGGATTGCGGTCTAATCTGACCCGGAATGCATACTGGGCCTTCACCTTACGGAAGCACAAATTAAGCTATGCGGGCTAATCTGACCCGGAATGCGTACTGGGCCTTCACCTCACAGAGGCACAAATTAGGGTTTCAGAGTCGCTGCTTCCCCTATAAAACTCAAAAAACTCCTACCTTTATCATCAATTAATCTTAACCTAGCTTTTTCTTTACTTCAATGGTGTTCACCGTTTCTATTCTTTTCTTTGTATAGTAATCTGAATGTTGTATTTGCACGTAGCCTCCCGGGCTCATCTGAGTTTATATAGTGAAGTTAGAAGCCCCAAAGCTCGTGCTAAATTTAATCGCCGCTAGTGTTGCAGTTTAGCCCTTTGTACCTTCTATTCATGGCTAATTTGTGTCAAATCAACGGCAAAATCCCCATTTTTGTAAGAAAATTCTGTATTTTTCTAGAATTTGGCGATGATTAAAACGGATTTATCCGCGCTTCTGAGAGAAATCGATGAAGCATAACATAAATTGGTTGAATTTCTTGATATGAGCCAGATTTATCTTCTTTTTTTTCACTAATTAGTTTGGCAGTGATGATTTCTAATACAGCTTTAATGCCAGTTCTGCTTCTGATATTCTGTGATTGATAGAGCTGTTTATATTACTGAGCCTCTTAATCTCATTCTAGTTAATCCTTTTTAGTTGTTTATATTTAAATCTATGACGATATCTGAAATTGCTGGATAGTATTTGAGATTGCAATTAGCATTCATCATGAAATTATTAAATTTCTCTGAGATTTAGAAAATTTTATTCCCAAATTTTTATATATATTAGCAGCCGATGATGATCCAATCCAACGGTGAGGTGTAGTGGATCTAAGGTCCCTGCTTTTGCAGGGGGAACCTCCTTATTTTCACTGCATCAATCATGATCACACCGGATTTTACTGAGGCTTTTCATAGTTTTGTTCTTAATTTTTTTTCTTAAGTATGTGTTTACTTTGAGTTTTAACTATACTCTTGCTCTAGAATATATTAGTGGGGTTAGGGTCTGAAAAACTCAGAAAGTTAGTGCTGTTTATCAGCTTCTTCTCTTGAATAATTCAACGAGATGGAGTTAAATCATGGCACTAAATCAGTTTATAAATTTTGTATGTTGCATTGAGTTTTACTCAATTTGTATTATGCTCACTTTGTGGTTGAGTGTAAATGAGAGCTCATAAATTGTGTGCAGTCCATCACCTCCTATCTTGCATATTTCACTAAGATTGGAGTTAAATATCAGCACTACATGTTTGTAAAATATTACTCTTATTTGGTTTATTTTTTTCTATTGTGCTAATTTTTTGTAAAATTGTTAGACTAACAAATGTATTTTTATATTTTCACTAACTAAATAATTTGTTCAATAAAATCAAACAATACTGATAGGAAAACTTGCATTCTAAAAGGAATTGTTTGGTCCCTGTAGTACAACAAGACATTCCAGAAACTAGCAGATGAGTTATGGACCGCCATCATTGAAAGTCTTCTTTTTTAACTTGCACCACAGCAATGTATAAATGAGGGTGGCAAAAGAGAATTATAACTTATGAAATAGAATAGGGGAGTCAGCCTCATATGTTTTCATTAAGATTAAAACGTCTGAATTTAAATACACATTTGAATATTAAAATATGCGATGTTGTCTCTGAATTTGAACACTAAATTATTAGAATTGTTTGTTTTCAATATCTGAATGTGCATATGAAATTAAATGTTATAAAAACCATTTTAGTAAAATAGTTTTTTTTATAGAAAATAATATTTTGAACATTTTTTATTTTTTTGGTAACAACTGTAAAATATTACCATAACCACCAAAGAACATATACAAATAAAAGAGCACCTATTTCTAAAACAGAGAATAGGCCTCTAACAAAACAAAATACCTAGTTACATAACAAAAACAAATGCTGAATAAAGTGTCTACATTTATTTGCTCTCTTAGAACTACTAAGTAAGTGTAATCTTTCACTGATTTCCTTCTTTATCTGTGTTACTGCCTCTTCCGTATGTACACGTATGTCTCTAAATCTCCTCCAATTCCTAGCACGCCAAGTGTGGTATATGATTGCTCTGCAGATAGCTGCCATGATCTCTTTTTTGAATTGCTTCCAACGATTCCCTTTTACGTTTTCTAGGACCTGTACAATACCAATATTATGCACTGGTACTTCTGTCCATTGGTGCATAGCTTGCCACACTGTTGATGTCCATTTGCAATCAAGTTTTTTGAGAATCTAATATAATGCAATGTAAAATAGTTTATATAGAGTAGTAATATTGTGTTTATGAAAATATTTTATTTTATAATAGACATTAGTTATTGTTATCGATCAAATAATTAGTACTTTTTTATTTTTTAGAATTGTGCTAAATATTATACCATGGAAGTTACTTATCAATTCAAATATATTGATTAATTATGAAAGTACAAGGCGTATACACTTGCAAAACGGCACCAACAAGATGTGCTGTGTAGGAATACACATGCAAAACAACCCCAACAAGACAAAGCAATGTGTATTCCTACACAGCACATCACTTGCTGAATCTGGAAATAACGCATTCTCAAGAAACAAATGCAAAATGCAACTTAAAGTTTGTGATTTTGGGCTTGCTTGGACAGTCATTATCATATATTAGTTGTACATTTAGGTCTCATTTGTTTGTACGGGAAACTGAATCTTAATCATTCAAATTTGCCTCATTAAGTGTGTTTATTTTTTAGAACTGAATCTTAATTATTCAAATTCAGTTCATTAAGTTTGGTTGTTTTATATCCTTGTAAATCTCTTAATGGGTCTGAATATATAGGAATGAATCAGATCTGTAACACGCTCTTAACACCGTTGATATATGCAGTTATGACGTCTATATGAATTCTACATAATACTTGTATAAAATTAGTAGATTTAACATATGTAAAATTTATTTGCATCACACAAAGGCGTATCTCCTCTTTTAACTTTCACAATCCACTTCTTCAAAAAGTATTACTTCAAAAAGTTTCAAGAAAAAGAATCAACAAGAATCATAGATCAAATTACTTATATATAAGAACATAGAAAAGGATGAGAGTGCAATGTTTTGGATGGCGAAAGATGACAAGGGTTTGCCTTTCACAACCCACTTCTTCAAAAAATATTACTTAAAAAAGTTTCAAGAAAAAGAATCAGCAAGAATCCTAGATCAAATACTTATATATAAGAACATAGAAAAGGATGAGTGCACAGTGTTTTTGGATGACGAAAGGTGACAAAGATTTACCTTGGTTGGATTTTGGAGTCGCCGAAAAAGTTTGGTTGGTCATCGGAGAAGTATAATCAAGTCGACTAGTTGGAGTTAAGTCTGATAGTGCAACCATGCGTATTTGAAAAGAAAATCCTAATATTACCTTTTTTTTAACTTTTAAAACTCTAAATTGGTTGTTTTTTTTTGTTTTTAAGAAAATACAAAAGGCGATGCCTTTCTTGCCTCTCGCCATTATCATCATGGCGTCGCCTTTTGAAGATTTTCTCACCACAAAGCTAACAGGCAATAAGGGTCGCCTCACCTCGCCATTGCCGATGAGGCGATCACCTTTCACAACACTATGAGAGTGAAAGTACACTTTTATAAAATGTTAATAATCATGAGGTATCTAAGTTCATTTTGTATCTAATTTTGCAGATCTAAATCTCACCAAGACCTCCCCCCTTCCCAAATCCACTGTCGCATCTCCTAAAAATTCAAGAAATCAAATACAACGAGAGGGAAGTGTATTTACCAGTCGATTTGCACTATTTTGAGGGATGAAAACCTTGAAAAAGCCCTTTTTCATAGCCTCTTTTGCTGCCAAACTTTAAGAGAATAGATGAACTCGCGGCCCAACCTTAACCCTATGTGCTTCTTTATGGTGAAGGGGAAAATGTAAAAGAAAAAAAAATTACAATAATCTTAAGATCCTCATAGGGCATTTACCCTTTTCCTTTTCTCATGTAGTAAATGCAGCAATTAACCATTTTTCTCTATTTATATACTTCAATAATTCAGTCAATATTCTTCTTTGGCCATTATACCAAAAAGTCTCACACATTAATATGCTCTTGTCTATAAAACTTGTGAGGAAAAAACCAGCACCACTTCATATGAACTGGTCCAATCTTTGCTGCATAACACACTTGAGCAAATGTTCAACTACTTAAAAATAGCAATTTTGACATTCTGCTAAAAAAATATTTGAAGTACCATGCAAACGTTGATGCTAGTAAGTAGTAATAGTGTGTTGTTAGTAGCACGGTTGTCAAGGAAACACTCTCGTTAAACAAATAAAGAAGTAAAAATAATAATGAAGTCATTATCGTCGATAAAACAATAAAATAATGACCCCGACTACTTATTAATTCAACCCTCTTATGACACCCCTAACCATCAATGGATTAAAGAAAGTATTTAGCATTTATTCACGTTTGTAATTCAGAATTTTATGAAGATATCACAATTGGGACAAAATGACTCCACCTCAAGTCAGCTTAACTCCATCAAGTCTCTGTTAGAGAACTTTAGCTGATTATTGAGCAACGGAAAGCATGGGAGAAAAAAATGCACAAACGAAAAAAGGCAAAAGAATATCAAGAAAATAGCTTCTGCATTTCTAATATGGACATGTCAACAGCGAGTTACAAGGCTCCAATTGGAAAGAAAAAAAAAGGCGAAGAAGACCATCCAAAAATATCACCTCCCTCATTTACCGATAGACAATATTTATTCAGATCACTACAAGTGCGTCAAATTATTGAATTTTGTTCCACCTTATTGCGGAATATATGCACTTTCAACATAAGTTCATCAGCCTGAATGCCCTTGATCAACTCAAAGACACAAGCATCTCCTAACACTAAACTATTAGTTTATTGTATAGGTAGAAAGGCTCACCAGAATATAGTTCCGCACCACGTGATATTCTCCAAGAGTTATCATGAAGTAAGGATTTTCTGGCGTAAACATTTTGGCAGCAGTAGTTGCCCTGTTTGCTTCTGCATCCCTTGGTCGTCCTCTTTTACGACGATTACCAGAGCTTCCATGCACTACGGATTTCTCTTGTTGCTGTCCGGATGAATTCTCTATATCTGCAATTCGTCAAATTAGCTCTCAGTGATGCAGATAAGTTTTTCAAGCATCAGATTTTCTGTTGGTTAAACAAACTAACCAGTGTTTGCTTCTGCATCCCTTGGTCGTCCTCTTTTACGACGATTACCAGAGCTTCCATGCACTACGGATTTCTCTTGTTGCTGTCCGGATGAATTCTCTATATCTGCAATTCGTCAAATTAGCTCTCAGTGATGCAGATAAGTTTTTCAAGCATCAGATTTTCTGTTGGTTAAACAAACTAACCAGTGTTTGCTTCTGCATCCCTTGGTCGTCCTCTTTTACGACGATTACCAGAGCTTCCATGCACTACGGATTTCTCCTGTTGCTGTCCGGATGAATTCTCTGCATCTGCAATTCATCAAATTAGCTCTCAGTGATGCAGATAAGTTTTTCGAGCTTCGGATTTTCTGTTGGTTAAACAAACTAACCAGTCTTGTGATTGGTTCTATCTGAAGATAATGGTTCGAATGCATCTGAACTCTCTGTATGCTTACTTTCATCGAACTGAAGTATACAGTTTTTACCAGTAGACAGGGTTGGTTCAGATAGGCTACCAGTGTGTAAATTTTTCGAATTTTCTTCCACCCTATTGCGAAACATGTGCACCTTCAGCATTAGTTCATCAGCCTGAACGTCCTTGATCAACTCAAAGACGCAAACATCTCCTACCAGTAAACTGTTATCTGTAACAAAGTTCAACCATCCTTTGCTTAAAAGCACCCGATGTTTCCTCCTAATGCAACGGACATTCCACTTATTTCCATCAGTATCTTGAAGTTCAATTAGTTCTGAAGTCTTTGGCATATACTTTCGGACAAACTCAACTGGTAAATTCTGCAGATTATGACGAGTTGTGAAGTATGCATCAAGAAGAATGTAAGATTAATATGCATGAGTATGAATATATTGAGATACAAAGCAGTTTAAAGAAGAAAAAAATGACACATTCAGTTTAATGTATAGGTACAAAGGCTCACCAGAATATAGTTCCGTACTATGTTGTATTTTTCAAGAATCTGCAAGAAGTAAGGATTTTCTGGAATGAACATTTTGGCAGTTTGAATGGCCCTGCTCGTTTCTGATGCTTTCTGTTGTGCTCTTTTGCGACGATCATACCTTCCAAGCCCTACAGATTTCTCCCGTTGCTTGCTCGTGAACGATTTCCTTGTATCTGCATTTATCAAATTAGATCTCAATATGATGCAGATAAATTTTCAACCTCACAATATTTGGTCGGAAAACAAACTAGCTGGTCTTGCAGTTGGTTTTATTTGAAGATACTGATACAAATTCATCTGGAATAGTACATTGTTTTTACTTCTCTCTTGTTCATTATTTGGATTAGTCATACCTCCAGTTGCCACTGCAGAGTGTATAGGAGTTTTCATACTTCGCCGAACTAATTTTCCACCTACTGGCTTAGTTAAACTGCCATTGCCCGAAATGTTCAAATTCTTCGCATTTAATAGCAGTCCGTTATCATGTAATTTGTTTGTTCTGCTTCTTGTTTCATAGCAGCGCGAAATCTTAATCTTTCCAGATGCAATTTTACGTCTTTTGGCTCTATGTGAAAGTTCAGATGACTTAGCTGAACTCTCTGGTCCCTGCTCAGTTTCCAAAAGATCCACAATTTCAACGGAGCTTGTGACACCCTTATCACCAACAATTTTATCCTTTCCGTGAGAAAGATCCTGAGTAACGTCACGTGATTTAGCATTACCATGACTCCTAAGTTGATAATCAATCTCAGTAGCGGCTAGGTCAAATATGTGGACATTGAAACATGAGGTCTGTCCATATTTGAACAGTAAAAAGTACCAACAGTTGACAGAATGATGTTCCATAAACTCTTGCCAACCATCATGAAGCCAAATCATTTTACCAGCCTTCTTCACGCCCACACACCAGAAATCACCAGTGGGAACAATAATCTTGACGGTATCAAGGAGTTCATCTCCATGTTCCTGGACAAATTTGTCTGGCAACCGCTGCACACAGAAACAACAAACATAGATTTTTAAAATTAAGATCAGACATAAATTATAACCATTTAAGACATAAAATTGTAGTGCAGAATTATGAAACTAATTAGAACGATGCAACACAAAACTTTTACCAATTTCAAATGGAGTGCTCATGTACCAGCAAGCAGAAAAACAATCTTAACAAATAAGCAGGAGCCACGAGACTAGAAGAATATGGCTGACAATCTCAAGAATTCGACCAGTACCAACAGTGTAATTTAAAGCCAAAAAATAGCCAATTTGCCATAGATTATGAGGAATCAATATCTGAAATTACACTACAAGTATAACCTACCCTAGTTTCTGTTTTGTTATCAACCATAGATCATTCATTCTTTGCTTTGTTAAAAAGAGAAGTACACAATTCTACGTAACTTAAGGAAGGGTTACACAACTCCTCGAAGAAGCTAGGATCTCACTAGAATGACATTGTGTACATCAAGGAACATCTCTATCATGGGGAGGCAACTAAAATCTCAACACTTCAGACATAAATCCTCCATCCGCACCTGAACTTTTACCTTCATTTGCACTATTGAATCGAGCAAATTAAAAAGGGATGACAACTGAACATCAATACAAGAACCAGGAGATACAAATAATTTATGTACAAAGCTCTCTTATATAACATTGTTGAAGAAAATGCCACCTTAGTCCTCCTAGTACTCCATATCACGTTATTGAGTTCAAAAGGTACAGATATCGCGTAGCAATGAATTTCCTTACGGGATCATTGTTTCACTTATGTGCACAAATTGAAAATGTTCTGCTACTTCTAATTATGTAGAATTACAAAAGGTCTCTTATGCGCACATCTGCTGGTTTCTGACCCTTAATTTGGGATTTGCCTCTTAGCAGGGATAGAGCCACCATTCGAGTTACAGGTTCAGCAAAAAACAGTAACTTTAGCTCAAACTCTAATATGGATAAATAATCTATCAAAAACCCAATAAGAGAAAATATGGTGGTGAAGTACAGTAGTTTCAAACCACCTAAAAATCGTACTGAAGCTTCATATGAGAAAACCTAAACTAGACACCAAGATTCTAAGCTAACTATATTATCTGGCTCATATATTACAGTTTATGAGTTCTAACTTCTACATACACTACTAGATCACCTAAAAGATAATTAGGTGAACTGTTCAAAATAAGTATGAAAGTACTAACCCGTAAAATAAAGGTAATACATAAATAAAACTTAGCCTCACCTGACAATTAAGCACTCCAACTTAGAGAGTACATATATAGACATTCTTAACCTGCAACTAAACACTCTAACTCGTCTCCATGATGCTAATACCTAGATGATCGTTTTGTAAATTGGAGTGTTGATGAGTTGGTCGTCTAGATTTGCATACTCAAAATTGGAGCTTTATCAAGTTTGAATATTTCTATTATGCATAAATAAAGCGTTCAATCAAATCGATACAACAAATTAAATTAGTAGAATGTGCATATAACCTAAATCCTCTGTACTATTTTACTACTCTACAACTTACAAGTTGACGATCGTCCATGACAGAGGGATCAACAATGACGTAGAAACTGCCGACCGAGTAGGAGTTGGAGCACGCTTCCATCATCACGCCGCATGCACTGAGCGATTTTCCGGTTGGCCAGGTTTTTTTAGACCCTTTGGCTGAAATCAAGGGTACAATCTGTTCTTACCCGTTTAATATCTGATAAGTGAGTCATTGACTAGCTTACCACTCGGGCCTTTACGTGTAGGACAAGGTAACAGATTTTTCGGCTTTGTAAAATTGAAGGATACATATTCCCATAAATAACAAAGTATTAATTATAGGTAATTTAAAATAAATTTCTTTGCCTAAATATTTTATTTTCTCTGTTTTAATGTATTAGTGTGGGTCTGATTTGATATGTAGCTTTAAAAGAAAAAAATTGTTACTAACTTATAGTTTTAAATTAATGATATACGTGTTCACGGTTTGGATAAAAACCGATCCAAACCGATAAAATAAAACCGATTTTATTTGGGTTTGGTTTGGTTTGATTTTAGATTTTTTAAAACCGATAGTATTTGGTTTGGTTATGGTTTTATTTGTAAAAACCCGAAGAAATAACCGAACCGAACCGATGACTTATATACATATATTTTATTAATATACATACTTAATATATTGTTTTTATAAACAATTTTAAAGATCTTATACATATTTTCATTAAAATTTATTTATAATTTACTTATTGAAAGCAAAAAT